TACCTCTTACCCATAGCCTCCCTGTTTTATACAACTTAGCCATCTTGTTCACAATTGTCTGACCCCCTCTCTCTTCCTCATCTTCAGGATCACCAAATAGCATCATGTCTTCAGTGCTGGTTACACCAACATCAAAGTCCTCCTCTGAATGTGACTCTTCATCTAAAGAAACTTCTTCACTGTTACCACTCTCTTCCTCACTATCTTCATAATCACTTTCTTCATCATCATCTTCAATACACCCCTTTGAGCCATTACTGACTACCTCATCGCATCCATATTGATTAAGATCCACAATCTCTTCAAAAAATGTATCTAGGGGAGGAATGTAGGGTTTGCTCAATGTGGGAATATCATATGCTTCAAGGCCTTTCAACTCCTTAGCCAAGAGTCTGGCACTCAATTGAGTTATCTCAAATTGTTGGATTCCTCCATCCACAACACTCTTCTTTTTCTTTTTACTCCTCTTCAACTTCTTATGTCCCCTACCATCATGAACATTATCTTTGTCATTATTATCAGGTTCTGTCCTGGGAGAATGTTGTAGAGTAAGATTTAATGAAGGAAGGGGTGAGGTGAGGCTGCATTCTGTATGGACAGGTATACTCTCAGGATCAATGAAGGAGGGTTGGGGCTGCACCTCAAAAGACTTAATTGATTCTCTTCTAACAACTAACTTAGTCCTCTTACAAGTCCTACCTTCAGAATTTGGAGTGATATTACTATTTTCAATTGGAGTTACAAGCAAATTGTCAGCCCATTCATCAACTTCACTCATGCCAGCCCCATTACCAGTTTGGGCATTGAAATCAATACACTCAGCCATAGTTTGTAATATATTAGGGTCTTGTAATTCAACTACGTATAAGGGGATGTAAGTAGAAGGGGTATCAATCCAATGATCAATCATCTTAACCCAATCCGAATCAGAAATTAATGACTCTCTCTGAATTTCTTTAAAGGGTGTATGAAACTGAAAACCAATGAACCTGGGAAGACTCACATACTGTTCTTTAGCTTTTGCAATGACATCCGAATACAAATCCTTTGTAAAATACATG